GGGGGGGGGGGCAAAATTTATTATGGTTTATAATGGCAAATGATACTTTGATTATTACATGTAAATAACTTGATTGGAATTATAACCTTGAATTGACAGTTTGATACTTTGAAATCTTTTAGCCAGCCCTAGGGCTGTAGGATGGGGCTCAAAGGAGTCAGTGTGCTAAAATTTCTTCATTTTCCTTGTTAAGAACCATGGGCCTCTTGTTAATACTAACTGACTGAGCTACATGATCCCAGGAAGTGCATATCAACATTATCCCTATGATGAAATACTAAACTGATGTTAATACTAAACTGATTTTTTGTGGTTGTTTCCTGTTACAGTTGACCTGGTCGGTGTATAGTCGTGTGCTGATGCGACTATTAGAGGAGCACCTGTTGTCCTGTGTCCAGCTCAGTAAAATGTGTCAGAATACCCTACAGGCCATACAGGTGAACACATGCCTATATGTTCTCCAATCAAAATTCCAATATAGAAAAACACTTTAGAACTACTTTCATGTTTAATTTACTGAATGGATTCTCAACATCCATTGTTGTCATCAGTGTCACATTGTCTCAATCTTTTAGTAGACTTCAAGTGTTCAGTTTTGTCCCCAGCCTTGATTGTGTTAATATCAGTAAGTTAGTCAGAATTAGCTATCACAATAATTTCAGATGACATGAATCATTCAAGATATCCCATTCAAATTGCGTTAATATATTGCACAAGTCTTTTTAAGTAAAGTGTATATGAATGAGGTTGTGATGTTTCAGGATGACGTGACCAACCTGGGCTGGTGTATGTGTGACGTTGTGGATCACATCCATGGTCGGGGCCTGTGTGTGTCGCCTCTGACAGACATACTTGATTGGTTACTCCAGCTTGCTGGTCTCGATTCTTTATTGGCCAAGCGCATCACCAGAACAACAAAACTTGTGTGTCAAAACCAGCCTACAGCTATTGCAGGTCCTGATGTACAACTGGTGTGTCCAGACCCGATTATAGCCCACACGAGTTCTAGTGTAAAACTAGTTTGTCCAGACCAGGCTACAGAACACACAGATAAAAGTGGACGCCACAAATTAGAGGATGTCACAGTGTATCTACCAATTGTTCACATGAATCAGGGACATAATTTGACTTGTAGTAAAAGTGATACAAGTGAACTGGATGTTGCTATTAAGAGGACAGAGGAAATCACCCTAGCTAATCATAGTAGCTTTATCAGTAACTCGGTAACATGAATGTTGGCTTCTACATAGAACGAACAGTGAGAATCACATTTGGATACAAATTATTAAATTATTATTTGGATTGGAATTTGATTTTTTGTTTTAAATAATAGCCTTAATGTTATCATTATGACATGTTTAACAGATTGTTGTACAGTTGTTTTATTTTGCGTGGCTAATATTTCATGGTTGTCCCTTTCAGAATTAGTTTGCAGTAAGCTAAAAACAGTTCATTTTAAGAGTTTATTTTATATGTATTTCATCATAAAAAACCGCAGAATACTGCATTGCAACGGAAATGATGGTACATATATAACAATTATTGTGCATACGCTTACACTGTAGCCGAATCGACATTGATTTTGTGGACAACTCGTACACATTTTACACCTTTGTGTGCATACGCATCACTGGTCATTTTATGATGAAACTGACAAGTACATACCGTACTAGTCATCGAAACGCCGCAAAGAAACACTTATTGGTTGTGTAACACACACTACCATGGATCCGCTGAGGGTGTGGCCGACCAGGGGACACAGGACCAGGGTCTAACAAGGGATAACAAAGATTTAAAGCTGTAAAATTCCTTTTCCACACAATGAAAGAATTTTGACCTATTTTGTTCTGGATCATCTTTGGCCAAAGCAGACTCATTATCGTACATATGGAGGGTGTTGCTGGGCCCTAAGGGAGGAAGTGGAACCCATTTTCCTTCTTTACTGATAAAGCAATTTTGTCATTTGATCTGAGGCATCCTTGTCCAAAATGGCTCCCCAGTGGGTTGAGGAGTGGAGCCCAATAAATAATGGCTTCCCAGTGGGCCGAGGAGTAGAGCCCAACGGAGAATGGCTCCCCAGTGGGCCGAGGAGTGGAGCCCAACAGAGAATGGCTCCCCAGTGGGCCGAGGAGTGGAGCCCAATGGAGAATGGCTTCCCAGTGGGCCGAGGAGTGGAGCCCAATAGAGAATATGGAGGTAAATTTCGAAAACATTCATACAAATCAAATTGGACCTGGACCATCCTTGGACTAAACAGACTTAATATAAAATCAAAGGGTGTGACCCCCACCCACTCCCCATGGCAAAGAGGTGGGTCCTATTTTGAATATAGAGGTAAATCATTAAAATCCTGATGTATCAATGAAGGGATATTAACCAAGGAGGCGGACACGGTGGCCCATGACAAATTCTGAAATTTTCAGCATAATTCAATTAGTTTGGGTGAAATGCATGCCAAAATGACATACTTTCCTTTAACAGATTATGAATGTAACTGCACCAACCCCTACACAAGTACTGTTTCGTAATTACAATATATTGTTACTAATACTACCTGAAACGAGTTGTCTTTTCACTATTTAAGAACACGCATGCCCTTTCCAGTAGTAACCAACATTTGACCAACAGAAATGGAATATTCTCCAAAGAATTATTTTTTTTTATTTTTTTTTTATAAGAACGTCGTCCATCGTCCGTCCGTCAACTTTTCCTTTTAAACGCTTCTAGTCCTGAACGGCCTAGCAGATTTTGACTAAATTTTGTCTGGAGCATCCTTAGGCCAAGGGGACTCTATTTTGTATAAATGGTGGGTGTTGCCCCCCTGGGGGCAGAGGGGCGGGCCCAATAGAGGAAAAAGAGGTAAAACCTTTAAAATCCTTCTTCTACCATAGGGATTAAGGGCTTTTATCCCAATTTAGTCTGGATCATCCTTGGGCCAAGGGGACTCAATTTTGTATAAACCGTGGGTCTGACCCCACAGGGGCCTGAGGGGCGGGGCCCAATAGGGGAAACATAGCAAATTATTCTTTAAAATCCTTCTTCTACCATAGGGATTAAGGGCTTTTATCCCAATTTAGTCTGGAGCATCCTTGGTCAAAAGAGACTCAATTTCGTATAAACAGCGAGTGTTGCCCCCCACCCCCCACCCACCCCCATGGGGGAAGAAGGGCGGGGCCCAATAGGGGAAACATAGCAAATTCTTCAAATACCTTCTTTTGTAAAAATGACAGAATTTTGTCCAAATTCGGTATGAAGCATCCTTGGGTGAAGGGGAACCAATTTTGTATAAACGGTGTGTCCAACCCCCGTGGGGGCAGAGAGGCGGGGCCCAATAGGGGGAATAGAGGTAAAACCTTCAAAATTCTTCTTCGACCATCGGGATTAAGGAATTTTATCCTTATTTAGTCTGGAGCATCCTTTGGCCAAGGGGACTCAATTTTGTATAAGCAGTGGGTGTAGTCTCCAAGGGGGCAGAAGGGCAGGGCCCAATAGGAGAAATAGAGGTAAAACCTTTAAAATTCTTCTTCGACCCATCCGGATTAAGAAATTTTATCCTTATTTAGTCTGGAGCATCCTTTGGCCAAGGGGACTCGATTTTGTATAAGCAGTGGGTATGATTCCCCTAGGGGCATATGGGTGGGGCTCTTTTTGAAGTTTGTTCTTGTTATATCACAAGTTCTGGATGGATCTTTCTGAAATTTCGTATGTACTTACAGCACCAACCATGGAGTGCTATATCTTTACTTCATACCATTTATTTTAAACATATTCAGGTGAGCGATACAGGCCCTCACGGCCTCTTGTTGTAAAAATACTTGTGTTATAAATTGAGATCCCTGACATATCTCAATTATCCAGACCCTGTATACACACTAGAGTAAAGAAGGAAAATATCCCCCAGGTCATAACTTGGAAACAGTTGAGATCACCACCCTATACCCATATATCTCAAGCATCTGTTAGGCATGAAAATAAGAAAAAAATAAAAAAATAAAAAAAACATTGACACTACTAGAATTTGGCTTGTGATCCACTACGCAATAACCATAGACCATAGATAGGCTATCAGGGTTGGTTCCTGCCCAGCCCCTGGAACAATGTTCACAATTACATTTTCTCGGTGCTGAAAAGGAAGAAAAGGTTTGTTTAATCTTTTAAAGTCTACTTTTTTGAGGTGGATTTTAAAGCATGTTCAACAGTGCAAGTGCCCAGAACATATCATACAAAAGTACCAATGAGTAAACGAATTTCATTTGTCTACAGCAGCAGGAAAATAACACTGCGAAATAGGCATGTACAGTAACTCTCTCGGGTTATTTGTAAGCAAGTCTTACTGCGATACATAATATCTACGTCATTAACCAAAGGAATTAAGTAAGTCCATACCATAGACATCGACAACCGTAATGTGTCGGGCATTTATGTCGCCGACAAAAATGAAATGCCATATTTAGTCCTATAAAGCTTATTGACGCGATAATGTAATGTTGAAATGTGAGACTCGATGATATATGACGGTCAAAGCCGGATGCTATTCTATATATCATTGCTATATAGAGACCAAATTCAACCTCTAAGCTGTTATGGATGTTTCATTTACGTGTGAGTGTTGTAATCGATACATTGACCAATGAAACGCTTGGAATAGTTTGATTTGATTGGAGCCCAACATTTATATATATATATATATATATATAGGTACACATTGCCGTTCAGTGTGTGATTAAGAGGATCTCGATCAGGACGTGGAAGCTAGTTTTCGTAAAAATCAGATCGAGTTGAAAACTAGGGTTAGGTTCTATTTATATTATTTTACCTTTGTACGTAACGTTTTGTCACAAATTTAAGTAGAGTGGAAAAGTCTAACAAAATGCCGACATTTTTATCTCGCAGCATGAATTGGTAATGCCAGAGCTTACATGTGATGTGGCACAATAGTAGCTATTGCAATGAATATTTGTCTCAGCATATGAGATCAAGTTATCAAGCAGGCTGATATTAATGACAATTTTTTTATTTTTTTTATGTAGTACTATTAATATTTTATTCCCCCAGCCATTTTTTTCATAATTATGTACATACATATACTGCTTCGAAGCAGATATATATATACATATTTATATATTTAAATATTTTGATAGGGGATGCCAGGGTTGGGGGGCCCTGGAGTCAGCCCCTGAACAATATGGTGTCCTCACACAGGAGGGTTCTCATTCAACATCCATCAGTCAAACTATAAATAAATAAATAGGAAGGGCAACGGGAAAACAAAATATTTGCAAATAGAGTAAGGAAAGAACACAAAACATACTTCTTTCACACCCTAACAAATTCCATATACAACATAATATTACAAACAAGGATAAACATATAGCACGTATACACATAAAAAAACACATACAAATACACCCACATATATACTCATACACACATACATATATACATGAGACAGACAGACACACACACACAGACAGACACGCATACAGACAGACACACACACAGACAGTGCATACATGTATACATTGAGACAGACTTACATACATTGAATCAGATACATCGTTATGCAAGCATAATTTCAAGCAGTTGAGAAACAATAATAAATACACTGTGCAAACAGTGTCAGATGTACATAGGAATATATACACGTGTGTATGAATATTTCTATGACACATGCATGTGGTCATTCACATTGACATGGACATATACTGACATCAATTTTCAAATAGCATTTTAACACCGGTTTTCATACAGGTTCTTATGTCCGCTAAAAAGATAATTATAAAACAAAAAAACAAAAAAATAGCACATACCTCCACTCACACCATAACATACCAGATATATGCAGTTTTATTTTAATCAGATTACAAAATCAAGATGACATTTAAATATTCATTTCAAGAGAAAGGGTATCAATTATATAAACAAAGTTACAAAGATGTATGGATTGTGTTAACTTGATTTTTTAATCTGTTAAAAAATATCTTTCAATTCAAACCATATTTGATCAAATTTTTCGTTGCGTACATTTTTTGAGGCTGATTTTTTTTCGATATTCTATCGGAATGCTATAAACTCAATCAAACCATCTAACCTGAGTCTTTGTTTTTTTCTTGATACAGTGTATATATAATATTTTGCATAAAGGATAATAAAGTTAATTGGTAAGGCAACATTTTCTGTCTCTCCAAATAATACTGTTTCTAATCTAAAATCAATTAATTTATCTAAGTTGAGGTATATTTTGTTTTTCAAATCTTGCCAAAGTCTGAAAGAATGAGGACATTCCCAGAAAATATGTTCTATAGTTT